AGGATCAGCAATATACCATGTTTGGTTGTCGGTCTCTACGCCGAGCTTGGTAGTTGGATTGCAAGCGTTTCATCACCAATCGAGGTGGCATCGTCAGTGCAGGGTTGAGTGGATTGACCCCACTCTTTCATCTTTCCTCTTCAACCTCGTTATGGATGTGAATATGGGACACTCACCTCCAGCCTTTAATGCCTGTGAGATTGGAATACTTCCAGTGCATCTGCTCACGGGCTTGCAATCCAACTGCCAAGCTCGGCGATCAGACCAACAACCAAACAGCGCACCCGAGCTACCTACATTCCACAACATTGCTAATACAGTGTTATCACTCAGACCCGGCTGTTAGTTTTTGAGAACCACAAAAATTATAACCATCTAGCTGTAATGCCATGTTGGTGCAAAGCTGTCCAGTCCTAGTCAGAAGCAGCCGAGGTGCTAGGGTAGGGTTCGAACCCCTGACCTTGTGATCAGTAGGTTTGCACCTTAACCATTCAGCCATTTGAAGAATAAATTTAGGGAAAAAACCTTTCACTCAGTTTTCAAAAAAATTTGTTGAAAACTTAGCCTGACCAAAAAGGTAACCTCAAGGTTTGCGTTGTTACTCCTGATTGATGTTTATTTGCTGCAGAACTGGTATGAAGCTGCTCGTGTTAAAATAAAATAAGCTTAACACATTCCTTTCAATTGTTTTAAATTCTGATTAGACAGCTGCAAAGCAGAGCCTTTTAATTCGCTCCAGATGGTTCTGGAATTCTCACGGTTTTCTCATGTAGCATATAGATTTATCAGTCGGAAAAATAATTTTAAAGCATGTTATAATACGGGCAATGCTCCAAGAAACACTTTTAGCCTAGTTAGCTACCAGATGAAAGCTTTTCAACTACTCTTTCTAGTGAATGAACATAGTGTTTTGCGAGCCAAAATAAAGTTAAAATAGATGAACATCATTACTCTTCTATTAGAACGGCATATTTATGGATAAAACTTGCTGATATACAGGCACACTGGTATAAAGTGTTCGGTGTATTGGCTGGTTATCTCCTTTTCTCCCACCATCGCCAGTCGTATACCATACACGAGTTTGCACCATCAACCGGGTTGAATGGAAGACATTCACCAACTTACCACGACTAGAATCACTGGAGATAGAGAGATTTCTTCCGTGACCGTTGCTGGTAAACTATGACCGCAGCTGACGGCAACTTCGCGTTTAGGCTATCCAACGGCACAAGAAACAAACCGTTTGTTTCTCTCTAATGACGAGTTTGCATGAGATTCCCCATGGTTAAAGAAGCTAAGTACCCCAGAACTTTCGGAGTCAACATTAAGAGTACTATGAGGGTGTATCACGACACCAGTATGCTCTTCTAGTGAAAACCCATGTGGTTCACAACTTCTTGAACAAGGTACTCTGCTTGGGGTCTCCTCAAGAGTTACAACAAACAAACTGCATATGGATTTGAAAGAAGAAGAATGGTTATGGATTAAAACAATGTTTCCATCACTCGTCGCCTGACATTAGAACGGAATAAAACTTGGATGAAAAAAGCCCCAGTTGTCCATTATCTCCAATAAAATCATGGTGGGTATAATGTTGCCCAACACTATTCAGCTTATATCACTCAATCCTACTACCTATCTGATAAACTAATCTACAGTAAACACAGTATCACATATTATACTCGCATTTCTTTTTATGGGTAAGAGAGTACTGAATTATTCTAGCCAGATAATTGTCATGGTAGTGTCAGCGGAGTCTTGTTTCCATTATGCTATGCGAAAAACGTCGTTCTGGTGCCGATTCGTCTGATGTCGGATCTGATATGAGCTAATGACTGCTCATTTACCGAAAAGCACCTCACCTCAGGCCCATTGTTGTTCACAGTTAATTCTACTGACATTAATTGACCGGGGTAGAAGTAGTACAGAGTGGCATTCATTGCGCATTCATTGAACAAAATAATTCATGAGTGTGCACTTGAGTGAGCTATGCCTGTTTTTCAATGATCAACTATCTGTTGACGATTGTTTAAACAGAAATATATTAAACTGGATCGTCTAGAGTCATTGTGCAAAATTCCAGGAAACGAGTGGTCATTCTTTTATCACAAAAGGGAAAACAGACTCTCTAAAGAAATGGGCCTAAGCGCTTAGAAGTATCTGCATTAAAAACACATGCTAAAGACTTTGAAGTGGTTCTTCGGAAGAAGTCCTTTCATCTTACTCGTGATGACCTTCTGTGCGATACCACTTAGAGAAAACAACTAATTTGCTTTACACCTCCCCAGCTGGTGAATGGCATGCTGTTCAAGTTACTTAGAACCTTCAGTGGAATTGTTGGTACTGCGCCCGACCATGTGAATTTACAAACGGGACTATTGGCAGGCAGCTCGAGGCCATCTCAGTTTACGATTAAATTGAATCATGCTGGGATCAGTTACTGAGAGTACGGTTCATTTTGCTGCTAACATCCATCCTGTCTTACTTAGTTGAACGTGCCAAATACGGTTCACAAGAGGCTGATGAGGTTTCGAAATCCCCGATGGTAAAATTGAAAAGTGCCTCAAGGAAGAAAGACTGCTCGGAAGAATTGCACGCGGACATCTATGTAGCGCCACCCACAAGTTCACTTGTGAATTGGACCGGTCTCGGTTTGAAACAAAGTTATTCCACCTGTTCGTTATTTCCTATTAGAAAAATCTATCTCATCTGTCCCGCTTCAGTTGTCCTTTATATTCCGTCAACCATTTTCTTGGTGGTGTTCAGAACACATTTTCGGACTACACAAATCTGATCTCCTAGTTTACCGCGTTTCGGCACTTCACCAACACATTGACCTGATTTGCACGGGAATAACTGTGAATAACTCTCGAACTGATCGTAAGCATGTTATATGAAAACTGTGATGGGTGAATTTTTCTCAGCTGTCTAATGCGATGTTGCGTTACTTTCCAGAACCTCAATGAACGGCCACGATATTGTCTTCTGTGTCACGCAGGGCAGAAGGGAAACTTAGGGTTGCAGTTAATTAATTCCGAAGAGAGAAAGTGCTGACTGGCCAGAGATTTTTTGGCCCAAAACCTGCCAGGCAAAATACCGATAAGGACGCAATCATAAATGTATTATGGGGAATATTCCATCAAAGTTAGAAACAAAAGTTTGTTGCTGAAAAAACATTACCACATTTTTTCAGCCAAACTGCAAGGAGTAAACGAGATTACTTTTGAAGTCAAGAGGAAATGACATGCAAATCATCCGAACAAAGGACATCAATTTTGGCGGGCTCTCTAATTTTGTTTATGATAACCAAAGGATTAAATCTTTAGCGTACTGACTACAAAGTTCTTCATACTGTACTTGTCTGGGGGCTCACAGAGCTGGCAGCGTTCATGGCGTAAGGAGATTCCTTCCAATTTCATTAGTTGCTGCTTTCTCCACAGAGTTTTTTCGAAACTTCTGAAGGTCATTCAAGGGTCTTGTCTACGTCATTTAGTTTACCTACTCAGTAAAATTTCTATCACTTGGAGGTTATTTCGACTAGTGGAGGCCGACGTAACACCTGCCATATATATTCTGGAACTAGAAAGTTCGACAAAGTATTGGAAAACGGATATTTGAAAGAAGTTGTGTAGATATGACGCATGCAGATAAAGCCTTTATGGTGTTGTTAGAAATGGGGCATTTTTTCGAAGTGCTCATCAAGTAGACACAGGTTAATAATTCAGTTTCCAACTGGTCGGTTATGAGCAGAGAGGTTATATCGGTAAGACGAGCATCTTTTATTTCAACTGACATCTGTATGGGTAGTTTGGAAAGACTGATCACTTCCAATATCTCAATCTATTTAATTTGCCTCAGTGATAAGACTGAGGAAAGCATATAATCTGGAGGGAATTGCCCGCTTATAGGGATTGCTTCTATAGCAACCAAATTTTGAAATGATGGAAAGTTGTAACGGATAATTTTTTAGTCATTTTTTCACATGTTCGGCAAAGTCTTTGCGTTTCATGTCAAAGCTTGTAAATGTAGCTTCCGCCTTTTTCTGCCAGTCGGCGGAACATTTAGTGCAGTGACGTTCCCCGACTGTGGGGTCTATTAAATTAAATCACTACTCGAAATCAAAATTCGGCGTTTGTCGCATTTTGTGAGCAGGACGGATAGCCATAAATTCAGTCGATTTTTTGAAAGCATGTAATTTGTGTTCTGGTGGGGGTGTTATTTATGGGTGTACTCTTTTAGGGGCAAAATTTTGCTGTAATAAACTCTTCCACGGTCGACACTGAGGTAATTATATGCGTGTGGGTTTCATCATTTCTATGAATAATAATCTGTCTGCTGGGGTAAGTTTCAGATAAACGAAAAGCTTTGCAGCTATTCAAAGTGCGCAGAACACTAGAAGCCACTGGTTTGCTGTTTGAGTTAAGTTGGGTATTCATACGGAATTGCTAGGTACATCTTGCTAAGTAAAGTCACTCTATGCTGAGAAGCCATGAAGCCATTTCATTTCTTTTGGGGATAATCAGCAGTGCAGTTCCCGCACAACTGCATGGAGTTTCGAGCTTTCGAACTTCAAACTGGTAGTTTAAACATAACCGCTCGGCAATGAGCAGCTGATCACCAGTGTGACCAGCCTACACTTAGCCGACAGATTCACTCAACGTTCGGTCACAACACTCCCATCACGTGGACGCATGTTGATTGGCTTTTTGAGTGACGAGTTCTTAGGTGGAATTCTCACACGTCTTGTGTGTTTATTCTTCCTCTGAGCTACTTATGGACTGTTGGCTGTGTGGAGAGGTTTCGTCCTGTAAATAAATTCAGTCTGTACTGACAGGCCGAGAAGTAGTGTGAACTAATGACAGAACTACTTCACTCGCATAAAGGAGGATTAATCAGTCTCTGCATAACTTTCAGTGCTACTTGAAGGATTCCCCGTCTCCTGCTCCATAATTCTCCTAGCTATATTCTGCTGGCACCTAAAATTCACCGTGCCCTAATGAAGGGCCTGACGGGCCTAATTGTCTGGCTTCTTAAGAAGGCAACAATACCCCTATAATTCCACTTCATGTATCCTCTTTCCCACATCAGTTTTTCATCCTCATGCATTTACTTCACATGCACTCGGTCTGTTACTAACCCCCATGGTCCCCTAGTGACATCGAGATTATTAAGGCAATTTGGTCAGTTAATTAAGACCGTTTTTTCATCAAGCGTTTAATCACCCAGTCTGCTTGCTTGAGAACATGACAAGTCCGCGGGTTGCGTTGTCAATTTCGTGCAATTTCGTGCGTCATTGACCGTGAGTTTTTGCCAATTCATTCTTTTTCAATCATACAGTAATATACCAGTTTATGGATTCTACCTTTTTGTCAGGCGAAAACGGATATTTTACGAAGCTGTGCATTTAATTTTGATTAGGTGATGGTAGAAGTTTGTTGCGCTGAACTCGCTTGAACCAGTTATGAGATTTTTGTAGCAGAAAATGCGTTGCACCGGTAATCGCTTTCAAAGTCACTTATCTGCACTACTTACTTCGGTAGGTAAACAATGCGGAACAATGTACCACTCACAACCTGTCGTAGCAAACGAACAGAATCTGTTATATGAGTGTGTTAGACTACTTCATTTCATGGAAAAGGCTTTAAGGTCTAATCGGAAGTACTGCAATCAAAACAGCTCATCTGAAAAGACCCTGACCTGTCTAAACACAATCAAAAACTTTCAAATGTTGGCGCAATAATTTACTGATTTTATGGAACCAAAGTGGACATTTTACTACGGCGACTGCGGTACACCTGTTGATCTGATTTTTTTGGTTTCAGTTGGTTACTTAAATGAAGCGATAGTAGTATGATATAAAACGAAAAGTGGAACGTGGTTTCGTCTGTCAGGTTCCTTCGGGAGTGAGCGAAAAACGGCTCAAGTTCAGCTTAAGATCTTTGGCGACGTTTTTGCTTCAGATGAACTTATAGCCAGCATATGCTGTAACTTTGAAAGAAACTTGAATGACTTACCTAGCCCATGCTCTGGTCACCTAACACCTCAGATTTCCTGAGTGGAGACAAATGCTAGAATGATTTTGATCGTGGTGGTTTTAAACTAATCTATGGACATGTGTAATGGAGGCTATGGTATATATTAGCGAATTTCCTACAAATTAACATAGTTTGTTAGGTGTTCAATAAACCTCGTACTAAAGTAGAAACATCTAAGTTTCAACCAACTTTCCAATAGTATTTTCGTTAGCTTTAGAATATTAGTTCTAAAAATGCTTTCGACAGTAAAAGCGTCGTTGTAACGTATGGGGTGAATCTTGTTTAGCACATGAGGTTACAGAATATTGTGAACGATAAATTCGGCTGAATTACTTACTCCCGCCATCGTATTTATGAAATAAGTGTCTGTATATAGATGACTCCAGTTTAATGTTCAGGTGTGAATTTGGACCGCTTTAAATTTGAAGAGCGTGCCTGATTAATAAACCTCACGGACGGCAGAATCTGTGGCATTTTGTTTGGAGTTTCCATCGATTTTATGGTCACCAGAAACTCATATTTCATTTAAAGTTACCCTTCAGTCTTTATGGGTAGTTAAGCGGGCGTATGAAGCAACTAGGCCTCAGTTGTTATTCACCTATCCTTTTTAACTATACAAGCAATGTGATACCCCGTTATTTCGCCCTCAGTCTAAAATGTATTCGCATCTGACTTCATGTAAGGATTGGTATTATTACTTTTGCGTCAACTGGTTCATCACAAAAGAATCGTATTTGGTGTGTGGGTGAATGTTTTGGGATGTCCATCAACTTGAGTTGTACATTGAAAATACAGACATCACAAGTTTACATTAGGACTGAGAATACATCTTGTTTACATGACACAGTGACTGTGTCCAATGATAAAACGTCCCATTTGATTTTATCGATCCACTTCTGAATTGCATACATCGTGTTTTTTTCCACTCATTACATGCCCACTAATATTTTATAAAAACGGTTGTTGAACTTTAAGGCGTGTTTTGGCATTTTATTTGCCATATTCAACCAGCTTGATTCATTTTACAGTGCAAAGTATGTTTGGTGTTTAAAAATTGCAAAAAGGGTGGGACATGTGGTGCTGAATTACCAGCGTTTTTGAAAACTTCCGGTCACACCTCTTTCACTAGACCTAACCGAAAAACCCCGGGCTTGAGGCCATGGCTCAAAACACAACCGTGTACCACCATATGCCATAACATGTGGAAACAACAACAGGTAAACATTTGGAAACCAGAAAAACAGACGTGCAAATGCACCACAAGCAACAAAATTTTATTTTTGTCAAACGGTGTGCAACAGTCACTTTTTCGAGTCTTCACATCACTGGAATTGCTTGGAAAATGTTTTTTAAGCTATCTTTGGAATGATTTTTAAGTTGCTACATACCAGTAAGCAGGATTTTAAGTTTAGGAACGCATTTTACTCACTCAAATGCACTTCAGAGCGGTAGTGTTTTCTTGAGCCCATTGAACTGCAAAAATCTGTATTAAGTGTTGTTTATGGAGCGTTTTTGAAAACTTCCGGTCACACCTCTTTCACTAGACCTAACCGAAAAACCCCGGGCTTGAGGCCATGGCTCAAAACACAACCGTGTACCACCATATGCCATAACATGTGGAAACAACA